CGGGTTCACTTTCCAAAATCAATGTACGTCCTCTTCCCACAAAATCATTGGTGTAGGCACTATAAGAAAATTGTAAAGACCTAAATGCCCACATCCCGGTTGCAGTATCTCTAACTGATCACTGTTGACCACGTACAAATTCTGAATGGAAAAATTTTAAAACCAACCCGGTTTTCACGGTGGTTAACCCGCTGTTTATATTCGTAAATATGTCAGACGATAACACAAACATTGCACCTATGTTGAAGAGTAAAAAATATTTTGATTACACAACTAAACAGAAGGTGTCGAAAACAATATATATTTTTCGCTTTCGGTATTGAGGCTGAGAACAACAAATTGTGGTTTACTCGGTCAAATGCCTTTGAAAAATCTGTGTAAATAGAATCCACCTGGTGTCTATTTTCGAAGGCGTTTATTATACAGTGTTGATAAATTAGCAGATTTGTGCTAGTAGATCTACCACTACTGAATCCATGTTGTTGATTAATGATTATATGACTAGAATCCCATGTTAGGTTTTTTGTAATTAGGCTGTCTAACAATTTGGGTAATTCTGATTGATTACAGACTGCTCGATAATTTTTTATATCATTATGTGATCCACTTTTATAAATAGGTTTCAAAAAACTGTTTTTCCAATAATCTGGAAAGATGGACGATTTCAAGGAAATATTGAATATCATGTGAATTGGTTTGACCAGGGTAAAAATACATTTTTTGATTAGGAATAGCGGAATTCCATCAGGACCTGTACACAATTTCCCAGGTAATGGCATGACATGAATTAATATCGTAACCATGTAAAGAGTTTTTTAATAACCTGTCTCCGAAACACCCACCCGAATGTGTCGGGTGTTCGAGGACAGGGCTCAACCAGCTTAACCTTCGTGGCAAAAAAATAATGATCGTTTTTATTATCATCAAGAAAACATTCATAATGTATATATCATGAAACAAAACTTGACGATGATAAAAGGCGAAGTTCAATTGTTTCCAGACTTAACTAGAAATAATTTTATTGTTTCTCTACTTAACCTCAACAATTCGACCGGGCGCCTAGACTTATAAAGTAGATTTCCAAAAGCAGATCAAGGTGATGAACTGAATCATGACAAATGAAGAATTAAAGAATTGATCTTTTTATATGAGTTTGATCTTCCTCTTGAAGATGATCACTTGGTGATCGAAACACGTGTCGAAGTGTTGAAATAACGATTTGGTGTTGGAAAAAAACTTCAGTAATATGCATTACTACACCAAAGATTCTAAACAGTAAATCGAAAATTCATATCTGAACCAGTTACTGAATACCGAGGAGAACAAAATTGATGCTCTAATAAAATATTTTCAGTTTCCAAAAATCACAGGTACTTAAAAATATTTAAAGCGAAAGACTGAAACTCCCAAAGGATATGCAGATCTCAACTTGGTAGAAGAATATTACAATTTTTATGAATGATGCAAATATTCAATGTAAATATTAGATCACTTACCCTTTATTGGAACGAGTCGCCACGAAAATATTTGTACGATTTCAAAGTCAGCTTACCAAACCAGAAAATTCAAAGTAAAAGTGATAAGCTAAAACACACTCGTTTTCTATACAAAAAAAGGTACCTACTGATATCAACTCATTAAAGCGTTCAAAATATCATTTAAATTGGCATGTTTGTTTTTGGAAACATATCATTCATGGTTTGTACTGTAGTTCTACTCATTTATGATCGCTTTGTGAAGGTTGGTTTAGGTCCAACTGTAGGATATTCAATTTCCACTGCGTACCATACTTCATTAATAGATAAGTATGAAGGCATATTCAGACATAAGAGTCGGAATTCAACAAAACTATTATTATTTCATCTCGAAACAGTGTTGAAATCAGACTCTTCAACCTGAATGAAATAGTGAATTAGAAAATTGAATAGAATGAATAGTATTCAGAGTTTTCTACTTCGCCTTAGTGCAGTATCATAATGATTGATATTATGGGAAGGGCCGCCCCTTTTTCTGACATAAAAACGTATTGTGGTGTGTATGTTGAAAACTCATTTTTGGAGCTTTTGAAAAATTTGTATGGTTACCACTTCCTCCTTTATATACAGGGTGTTTCCTAGTTACGGTACGAAACTTCAGAGAATGATTCATTAGGTCATTTTAAGAAAAAAGTTCCTATGAACATATTCCGGAGTTGCTTCGTTTCTGAGATACACGGCGTTGAAGTTCAAAAAAACGGTATTTACCTACCTACCACAAGATCAATTTAGGTCCATTTCAACTTGAGCCTCTTAATGTAATGTGTTTGGCTATATGAAGGAGGCAATCTCAAGGCTTCGGAGTATCATCAAACAGATCAGGCTAGATACCTGTAAAGAGCTCTGATAACCGAGAAGCAGTGAAACAGACCGCATTCCAGCTCTCCTATCAATCTGATCTAATATAACATTTCCCAGATGAAATGGCCACAGCACAGATCAGATCTGAATCATATCGATCCAGTCTGAGATTCAGCTCGGTTGACGAACTCGAGGTCTTGAAGTTAACGTTTTTTTTTTATTCGAAACCTGACAAATGGGTCAACAACTAAAGTTGTTGAGCCATTTGTTAAAAAATATGTTTATAGGCCGCTTGCGAGAAGCAATACGAAGAAAATGTCCGGTATTGTTGGAAAAAACATTCATGGCTTTGGCCTCACGATAATGCACTTATTCACTCGTCATTGCTTGTTCATAATTTTTTGGCCAAAAAAAAAAACACCGCAATCATGTCTCAGCCACCGAATTCACCCGATTTGGCCCTCTGCGACTTTTCCCTGTTCCCAAGATTGAAGATACCCATGAATGGACGGCGTTTGGTGACGATTCAGGATGAATAAATGAATATTTTTTGAGAAAAATTAAAATTCACCTCATGTTTTGAAAAAACCTCGTTTTGAAATCATTCGCAATCGGTATAAAGAAACGATCTTATCTGCTATGGAATTCGTGTAATCTGCAAATTTCATTTTCAGGATTCACATTTATGAAACGTACATAACCAAACCTCTCCACAACGCAATGTTTAGATCTTATCTCAATCGTAAATGTTCCGAATTACACGGGAAGGGTTCCTGCCACGCTTCGGTTATGCTAAGTGGTTGTGCAAGTGAAGACAAATCTAGAACGGAAACACAGAAGACTGCATTCGCTAATCTATTTTACGCAACATGACTGAAGCACCCGAGGATAGCTATCGCTGTTTGTATACGTAAGAAGAATGTTAACCTTTAGCTGCGGCGATAACCATTCATTTTTTGAGGTACGGCTAGCACCCGGAACATCGAATCACCTTTTGATAGTGTATTCGACTGACGACGAACACCGAAAGTCCATTACTTCCAGGTGAATCCACGTGCGAGTGGTTTTCGTCCGGTGGTTTCCATATCTCACATTTGTCATCTGATTGAGGATATTTAACGGTCGAAACTTAGCACATAGGACTCGAGAATAGATATACAAATCGATTTAAGAAATCTAACTTTGAGAAAGATTGCTGTTCACAAAGCTTGTGAACTTTTATTCAAAAACCACTGTCATGGCAGAGATCAATGGCTTTTCGTATAATGATTATGTCACAGTTTACACTCCATTTTTAGGTTGTTTTCAAAGTTTTGTCTGTTTCAATGTTATGTGTAATTTTAGCTCCATATCTCAATGAACATTTATTTCACTGTGTCATAGTATACAGTGCATTTCTTTAATGTCCCTCCCCCTTTTATTTTTTGAACAGATCAACTGAAAAAATTGAAATTTGGGATAATGAAATTAAATGCATGAATACTTCATTTTGAAGTGAAATTGACAGATGAACCTTTCAAGATGGCGACAGGGTGCCTTCTGGGGAAATAATTAAATGGAAAGGGGGGTCTTGTAACACATATTTTTGAAGCTCCTGACAGATGCTTCACAACCCTAGAATATAATGTTAATATCTTCAACTACTACAAAATGGCAGAACTTTTAATAATTGCCTGACTACATTGACATTTAACTACATAATGTGAGGTAAGAATATGCTCGAAATGGTTGCCTTGAACTTCTTGACATATGAACAGCCGATATTTCACGCCGAACATTTTCGAACACAGTAACGTCAATATCTCTACAAATATTTATTATTCTCTGCTGTATGTCCAATATTGAAGCAGGTCCAGTTTCGTACACCTTTTGCTTCAGATAGCCCCATAAGAAATCTAAAGGTGTCAAATCTGGCGAGCGGGCTGGCCATTCTGTAGGACCTCGACGGCCAATCCAACGATCGGGAAAAGTAGTATCCAAATAGTTTCTTACTTGTTTGGAGCAATGTGGCGGTGCTCCATCTTGTTGGAATACAATATCCATATCGAATTCATTAGAATTTGCTTCGACGATTTCAGTGATGAGAGGGTCAGCAGTAGTTTCCAGAATATTCTAATACAGTTCCCCTGTTGAATTTTGATCAATAAATAGAGGTCCTACAATATGGTTTCCCAATATTCCTGCTTTCCGTTGACCGGTTCAAAAAATTAAAGGAGGGGACACTAAGGAATTGCACTGTATACTAATCGATATAGAAATTTGTACCCTGGTGAAGAATGACCCAACACAAACGATGCGTGGGATGGCGGAAGAACTTTTTGTTCTACACTTTCACAGAAGTTTATTTTGGTAACGACATATCAGAACGACGAAGGAATTATAAGAATTAAATAAATTATTGGAGTCCATTACCTACTGCTTTCACAATCTCTGATTGTAATCGAAACACATCATAACTGTAGAACTTTTGAAATAATTCAGTACTTCCAGGACGTATTTTTTAACCAAAGTTATTATCAAAAACAAAGTTTATGAGACATTTTCTACAGAGATGTCTAGCTCCCTAGGAAGCCATTCTTGAAGATTCAAAAGGATTATTGCATGAAAATACACTCACAATCAGTATTTATCCAAATTGTATGAAAGCTGATTTCAGAGACTCACCTTTCATTATTCGTGGCCTGACCAGCAGGCTCCTGATTAGTCTGTGTAGACGCAGCAGGAGTACTAGGCGTCGAATCCAGACTAGAAGGTATACTCGATTCACTAGATGACAGACTTCTCGGCCTTCGCGACCTTGAAGACGCGGAACTACTCCTAGCCCGGCCACTCGGTTCCAAAGACACCGCACTTTGCCCGGATTCACGCGATCTGGGTCGTGAGGAACGCCCGGCAGTACGGCCCACAGTCGGTATCCTAGATGGTGCGCTCATCGGCCTGACCGCCGCTGCCGGAACAGTAGCCACGTTAGGCGGTGTAGCCACATAAGCCGCCGTTACTGGGACAATAGTCACTGTCGCAGACTCTTCCGCGGCGGAATTGTCTTCATCGGCTTGGTCGCTAGGCAACCTCACGTGCCTCAGGCGGCGCATCGAACTGCGCAGCCACGTGCTCTTGTGAGCGGTGTCTTCTTCGTCCATCGCCGGTGCTGAGGAACTGCTCGGAACAGGCATCGTTCGAGGCGCCTCTAGCACGACGGTTCCGGTACAGCAGTCACCGGTTGCATGCGCGCGTCGCTCCAGTGTCACGTCACGTGCGATATCCTGCAGCCAGCTCCAATCTATCTCTTCGTCCGAGTCGCCAGCTGGTCCGGGTTTCCGGTCCGGAGTACACCTGGATTTTACGCAATTGTCCGTCACTTCGCGCAACGAAGGCCGTTTCCGCCTGATCACGGACACGGTAGCACGGGCCGGGGAAGTCTTCTTCGCTTCAATGGCCACCTCGCAAGCCGACGATGGCCTGCGCTCCCTTTCCGGTTCGGTGTCGATGTAACCTCTGTTTACGCACCCAGAAGCTAGGTAACGTCTGTAGTTCTCCTCGATTCTTCGGAGACGGTTCCGTAGAGTTTCGTCGTCCACTGGAGCCGCCTCAAGGCCACACGGATTCGTTGGGTTCGATGAACTGTCCACGCTCGAGGGTTCCTCACATCCTGAAGAGTTGGACTCATCTTCGCTGCTGGGGTCCAAGCTTTTTAAGTAATTGTCCAAGTCCAGCAGGCAGTCTTCTATGTCTTGTTGCGCTTGTGTGGAACCGTCACTCGTGGGGGGGTTGTTCAGGGACGTGTCCAAGCCGTCGTCCAGCGAATGCAGCACGGGCAAGGCCTCCGAGTTATTGTCCTCTTGCTGGGGAGCGTCTACTAAGTCATAGTCGTCATCGATTGATATAAGAATGTCTTCGATATCGACGCTAGGTCGTCTGGACACAGATGGTGCAATATATGCCGCGGTTTGTAGCTTCTCCTCCAGCACTGGTAGTTCCGTGTCCAGGAGATGGTCGGACGTTTCTGGCTGGGAGGCTGTAGATGCTCTTGGAAGGATTGGCGACCTGACGTGAAAATCTATCAGATCCCCTTCGCAAGCGTCGTTTTCTGCAGACATCTTCCACTCTGTGCGGGTTCAGGTCATGACCTGCAATAGAGAGAATTGAATTAACCAATTGAGTCCAAGAGAATAATTGAATTAAACAAGATCTAGGTTATATTCTTTTCCCTGATTTGCCCGTTCTCACCAATCAATTCTACCCATGAGATAATTGTTTCCAGCGATCGCGAATGAACTTCTTATCGACTGAGAATTCGAGAAATGACTGCGTTTTCAGATATTAATAATGACACTAATTGTAATTATGAAGACAATTACGTATCCGCTGTCTAAGTTTCAATTAGGTCAGGGTCATGACATCCGTGACACCTTAGTCACAAACGTGTATTTCGTTCATCAACAGCAGATTGGCGTTTGTTTCGAATAAGTGTGTTTGTTATGATATTTTAATGATGACAATAAAGGCGACCCACGCTCGAACGTTATTGTTTTTAAGGAGAGTTAACTTCATTAGCTTTCATTCTATTTATGGGCACTTATTCAGGCATGTTGCTTGGTTAATTGAGCATCCAGGACTGTAGATCGTGGTGAGGAATACAAACAACCAACCATTGAGAATTTTTAAAGAATATGATATTAGGAATATCCATAACTGATGTTCAAACTTGAAAAGAAGTTATTTGTTTACAATTATTATTTTATTCAGATGGTGGAAGGTGAAACGTCCAAAAAGATCGATGAGTAGTATACAAATATTTTGCTTGCAAAATATCCATTATGGGAAATGGCAAATTGATGGAGCTACTTCTTAGAAGATTGGTTTTCTCCATCTTCGTATAGTTCAAGTGAACGATATAGTACACCCTACCTTCAAATAGCTCCCCTTTAATAATATAGTTAGGGAGCTAACTAATTTCGTTATTCAATAATAATTTCTGATTATACAATCGATCGCTTCAAAAACACTTACTTTCTTCGAAAGCTTCTGATAATAAATCCTCTTCCATATTCTCTGTTTCACTATCACTGTTGTCATTTGAATCAATAATGAATTCATTTCTACCATTAATATGGAAGTGCCCAATCTCCAATCTTCAACCGAAATTACTTTTTTAATCCTTTTTTGCCAGTCTTCTTCGGTAACATTAGATACTTCTTCTTCAATTAGCTCTATTATCTTCTTATCAAATTTTGGAAAATTATTTTTACTCCTGATGTTTTGTTTTAATTTTCCCCAAATCAACTNAAGAAGAAGAAGAAGAAGATCAAGAAGAAGAAGACCAAGAAAAAGAACGACAAGAAGAAGTATTTGAAGGTTATGACTCAGATGAATAAATTTTTACATTTTTTTAATTTCAATCGCTTTTATAATTTCCAACCCTTCCCTAATATATTTTATTATGCAAGTTTTCAATTTGACAGAATCACAACAGACGTGGAATAGACCTACTGGGAAAATCACGTTAAAAAGAACGCGCTAAGTACACTAACTCATAGGTGGTGTGGAAACGTGTGTATATAATGACGATAACAACTTTTACAACTTTTTTACTCGTCGTATCTCAGAAACGGTGGCTCTAAGAAAAAAAGTATTGAAACATTTTTTGTAGAGAATTTCATGATCTACAATTTTTATCTCAAGTTATTTTATGATAAAACTCACCGTTTTCCTGAAAATCGCGAAAAAACAAACGAGATTTTTGACCTTTGACCTCGAATAAATTTTTTTCCAGGCATCGCAATCATTCGGAATTTTAAAACTATTTTAAACTATGTTTGGAACAATTACACGCGTTTGCAACTTGTTGTAAATTTATGTAACTTCCAATGTCTAGATTGACCGGATTTTAACATAAACAATCTTACGATACATTATCTGCATGTTACTCCAACGGTATGGGCAGCGCACGTCATGATAGCTCTCAGGTAGCAAGAATTTTTCCGACTTTCTTAATACCTATCTGTTATATTATGACCAAAATTACACAAAACCTTTGTAAAATGAAGCGGATACAAATATTCACATCTTTCCCAGGTTTCCCTTCACCCTTTACTTGCATCCGGAACAGATGGTTTCACTCCCATACTGCATTATTTTGCTGCCCACACCCCCGCCAATGAACCATAAAAATGGGGGACATATTCTGCAAGAGAACAATAGCGAAAACTTATTACTCATGCCGGAAAATGATATCGCTAATAAGTTATAGAAGTGGGTCAGTATTGCAATACCTACAGTTATAGTCTGTCTGCTACGGATGATTTCGTTAATGATTTAGTTCATTAGTCAACGTTTAAGCGGAGACGTTAATGAGGAAACGGAGTGTGAATAACCGAATTATATTATTAGATTGTGAACGATGAACAGAAACTACTCATTCATAAAATACGGAATGTGGTGCTTCCCCTAAGCTTTCTGAAAACTTATGAGCAGCCAGAGGCGGATTAATTACACCCTAAGAAAGGCTTTCAAGATTTATAACATCCATTATAATTAACTGGACCTGTTTAAAAAATAAGGTTAGTTTTCAAATTTCGCGGGCTGCGATTAGGAGTTTTCATTCTTCTTATCATGGTATAGTTCAAGTAAACGATATAGTGCAACTTAAATTTTAATTGGCTCTATTACTTTCTTAGCAAATTTTGTTCGCAGGCATCTTGAGCGTACACATTCTCGAACCATCAGTCCACACTTTCGTAACTGTGTCATGAGTGTCATACCAAGTTTCGTCCAAATAGAATTTACAGTCAATATAATTATCTTTTGGTATAAGTATAAACCACCCCTTAGACTGCTCCCAAACCGCTGTCAAATTATTCATCTCTTAGTATATCGTTCTTAAGTTTATTCGATGTGCCAATACCGAATATTAACCTGGATAAACACTTTTGGGGATTCAACATAATTTTCTAGAATTTTCTTCAGGTATAAACCACCGCTAAGACGGCTCCCAAACCGCTCTCAAGTTATTCATCTCTTAGTATATCGTTCGTCATTCTATTCGATAGGTCAATACCGAATATTAACCTGGCTAAACAATTTTAGGGATTTAACATAACTCTTGAGAATTTTCTTCGATTATAAACCACCCCTTAGACGACTCCGAATCGGTTTCAAAATCAATAATCTCTCGGTATATTTTTCTTCGGTGTCTGTACTGAATATGATCCTGTCTGAACATTTCTGAAAATATTAACCGAATTTTTCAAATTATTGATCTATTCCTATCTCAAAATACACGGTTTGTTGGTATTCTACTATTGAATTGTGCAAAATATTAGTTGTGGTACCATTTCATCTCAGATTGAATTCATGCATTTATGAACAAAAACTTTTTTTATTCATTTCAGTCGCCACTGATTGTTTGTCTAGACAGATAAAATCGACCACTGAGAAATGACTGATACAAGAGAAGGGCCTACATAAGAGAAGGGGCTATGCCACAAAAGTTGTTTTTTGTTTCTATTGGTTCTGGATAGTGCTGCCACCTATGGACCACAACACGAACTCCTTGGAAGTGTGTCATACCCCCATATCCATTTTCGAAATGAATAATAATGTATTTATTGTATGTTTTCTCAAAAAGTTGAGTTTGTATTAGAGCCCCCTCTTTTACTGAGGCACTCAAATATATAAAATTGAAACTTGGGGGGTAGGTGCTGCCAACAAGAGGGCATGAATTTCTTCACGTCATTAATTAACGTATTCTTCGAGTTTTTGAACGTACGTCCATGTCTGCATTCCAAGGAAAACAAATTTTCTTTGAAACACCCTGTATCTTTCTTTCTAAGGAAAATGTGTTCAGTATGTATTATAAACGAATAGACACAAGTGGTTTCTGATAAGCAATTTATGACACATACTGAACAAAGAACAATATGCTAATTTAATTATTTCGAACACAAGTTGTTCTGTGATTGTACAAAATCCTTGAAAAGTTAGTGAAACTAAGAACATCAATATTCCCATTCAATAACCAATTTAATAACTCTCGCTGGCCCATAAAGAATATACCAAAATGTTCCAATACCTTTCGAAGAACTCCGTTTTATTTATTTTCCCAAGTCCAGATAGAATAGACATTTGATTGCAACACACATACACACGTCTTTCACTGCATAAACTCGTATCTTATGTAAACAAGTCAAGCCTGTTATCCAGGCCATCTCTGGATGTACACTTCCTTGTAGTTCGACACGAAACACAATGAAAATTAATATTTATATAAGAGTGGGCACGTTTGAAATTATGATAAAATGGTAAAGGTGTTTCAAGGCAAACAAATACTATTGATTCATTTCGTTTGAAATTTCAAAGTCCAGTTGCAGTATGCAATAACCAGAAGTAATTTTCAAAGTAATTGCATATTCATGGCAATCCTACAAATGTGTAATCATTATATACAGCGCATTTGAGTTGAAACGAGCAAACTTTAGTTTTCAGGGGAAACATTTCTATGTAAAAGATGTTTTTGACAATACGATGTATGATGGAATTGGCCGATACTTGATGAAAATCCATAACTAATTCAAAAAACACTGTATTGTGAGATTTTCACTAAACGATTTTACAAAAACGCAACACGTGTTTCGCCATATAATGGCTTCTTCGGGCGTTTCTTTATGTAGTACCGGTGCCACAGTTCCTCATTGATAACTCTCCGGGTCGATTATTTGAATTATAGGTTCTACAGAATAACCACCCTGGTCCCCCGATTTTACTCCACTGTAAGCTACTAATTTCAAGCCGCCAACGTCATCCCGCCCACTCACGAACATAGAGGAATCCTTGTTGAAGGAAAGGTCTAAACTTCGCCATTGCACCAACATCTGTGCCCACTTTGGAAATAATAACTGCAGTGGAATCCACCAGCTCCCTTATTGAGGCAGAAGAATTCAGATGGAAAATCAGAGAACAGCTAGATCTAGAACCAGTTCCAACATCTAATATCAGCCCTGAAGAACGAAGAGACCTGAACGGGCTTTGTAGAGACAACACCATCAAGATCCTACCTGCAGAAGAGGAAAACGCTATTGCAGTGATGGATACTGATCTCTACGAACAGAAGAAGGTGCTTCAGAAAGGAAAACGAAGACGTTAAAAAAACACAAGTCTATTTTTCAGAAAAAGATAGAGCATGGCTATCACCGCACCACAGTAAGCCCCCTCACTTGTATGGACTACTCAAAATTCAGCCACTCAGAACTTGTCCAATAATCTACCATTAATCAAAGAGCAAGATCAACTAATCAGTTTCAACGTGTA